TAAGAGTTGAGTGACTATTAAAGGGAAATAGTTTGTACTGAGCGCTCAGAAACACTGTCTGGATGGAAATCTGTTAATGCTATTGGTGCACCTTTGTTTGTTTTGGGTCTAAATGAGGTGCAGTTTAATAAACAGGTTCAGTATAAAATCCAGATTCAAGAGTAAAAAAAAAAATGCCAAAACAAAACTGCTCTTTTAGAGTTTTAAATGAATGTGGGTTTTATTTGCAGGTTTGTCAGCAACTAAAAAACAAAAAATGATCAAAGGGTTAGCAAGTGGTGATGTTTCAAGTAAAAGATTTCATCTCTCTGCGAAAAAGAAAGTCTATTTTTGTTTTTATAAAATTCAGATTTATATCTTTTTGATAAATTAACAGGAAGGAAAGTCTGGAAGCTCAAAGGTTTCCTCGAGCTGAATTAGCATTATTTTTATGGCACACAAAACGCATACAAGACTTCTGAAGGCTCTTCAAGTCCTGAGTGTCAAAGAGGCAACCCTTTTCCCGCTGCATTTCCAGTGTGACCCATCCACAGTCTGGCAGTCTGTGGAGAGCCACAGGATCCAGCCTCACAGAGCCCGTTTGTATTTTCTCCCATCCTCTGAGCTTTTGAAAACACCCAAATTTGATTTTAGAGTGAGTCTACAGGAGCCTTTAGCCTATTTACTGAATCAGATGTCCCTCTGTCTTGTCTCGCAGCCCGCCTGCTTGCCTGCCTGGTTGGTTGCAGAGAGGCCCCAATAGGGACAACAGACGGAAAGAAAACACACACACACACATTTCAAACACTTGCAGATGACTTTAATTCCTTCTCCTCATTTGTTGCCAATTTATTGGGTAACCTACTTTGAATTGATGCTTTTTCAGAATGAGTTATAACTCCTTTGGTTTGTCAGAAGGAGGTTTTAAAAGAGAAAGAAAAAAAAGCAGGCTGAACAGCAGCACTAATTAATGTGGTGCGGCTGACAAGTGTTGCTCCTAAAACAATTTCATTACATCACCAATTTAAATTACAGAGGAAGGAGACACTGGAGGTTGCGCTTGTTCTTAGTGTGTTTACACACTTTCTTAGACAGACACAAAGAGGGAGTGGAAGCAGTGTAACAAACACCAGCAATCCAATGCAACACTTTTGCAATGAACACAAAGCCAGATTCAAGATTTTTGATAGGTTTTTTTCACCTTAGATAAACACGTCTTTTTGTAACAAGAATAACATCTCTGTTATATTTCATAAATCTGATTATGGCTGGGCAATTATAATCACAATTTAGAAAAAGAGCTATTTTGAAATCACAAAGGCAGTCAATTTTAGCAAGAGTAAGACACCAAATTTCTGGTGGCAGAGATACACTTAAATTGCTTTGCCAACACACAGGTGACCTTTTCATGTAAAAACTACAGTCAAGTCCTGCAAAAATGGACTCATTAAAAAGAAAACATACGAGTTCATGGAAAAACGTAAACTGTGGAGTAAAACAGAGACATGCATTTGCTTAGTGCAAAGGAAAATTACAACAAAAACCGCAATCATGATATCGTTTGAAAATGATTGCAATTTATATTTTTGGCAAAATCTTTCAGCCCTAAATCTGACAAAACTTTTATGCAGCTACCTGTAAACATTTTAAGACAAACTAATTTTACTCTCTGCCAATAAGCCTCCTTATTGTTTTTTGTGTATCAGAGGAAGAGGTGCAGCAGCGATCACGCTTTACATCCACACACACAATCACATTTTTTCCCCACTTTTTTTTACACACATTAAAAAGACAATAACCACAGTATTGTCCAGTTAAGCTGTTCTAAAATATCACATTTGGTATCACTGTAAATCTCCATTTTCCAGCATAGGAATATCAACAACAAAAAACAAACTTCCCCTTTGGAATATTTTACCATAACAACAACGTTTAGAAAGAGAGGATTTCAGGGTTGAAGCTTTTTAAGCAAAATTAGAAAAGAAAAATAAATGTATTCTTTCTTTTTAAATAGATCCTGAAATAAAATTAAATAAAATAAGAAAATACAAATAAAACTCAAAACATCAACACTTAACTGCCCTGATTAACGCAGTATATTCCTATAACTCCATCAGTGTGAGAATGTGTGCATGAAAGGGTGAATGACTGACTGTCGCACGGAGCGCTTTGGGATCCTTGAACTTGATAAAAAACTAAAAGTACAGGGCATTTATCATTAAATAATCCTCGTCTGGAATGAGATTAAAACGTTTTCTAATCTTGGATCCAACCACAATGCCATAGTACTTTAGCACTTATCAATAAAATGAAAGCAAAAATCCACAGATCTACAAACTATTTTTAACTCAAATTGAAGAGCAATGACTATTACTACTGTAGCTAAACAATAAATTTTGTCAAATGTGCTATAGTAGGTTATTAAGAAATAAAAGTAACTTTAATAAGAGTCCGCTTATGTCCTAACCCACATTGGTCATGTTTTTTTTTTTTCCAAATGCCACAATTTGTCTTTTATTAAACCTACATCTCAATTCAGCCAGCTGAATGGCAGTGGGAAGCAAGATGTGGGAGTTGGGGGATGGTTGTTTCACTCAGGTAAAGCACTTTGTATTGTGTCTGTACAGAATTGTGCTATATAGATACATTTGCCTAGCCTTCTGTTATACTAATGGCAAAAGCAACATTTTCATTTGCTGCTTCATGTCCTGGGGCAACTTGATTAAAGCTTTCTGATGCCAAAAACAGTGAAATTGATATGCTTTTGCATTTTTTAAGCCAAAACTTTAAAAAAGAAAAAAAACAACTACCTTGAAACAGTTTGGCACTGGTAATAAACAAAAATACTTGTCTGTTTTTTTAACAGTTGCATAACAAGCAATATATTTTTCTTGGTACACTGGCTATAAATGATTTAATAAAGTCTCACTAAAAATTTAAAATACCTGAAAGAACAATGAATTATCCATAAAATGCATATGATGTTTTCATTAAATAAGCTTAATTTTGATAAATATGTTGTCTGTTACAGGACTAATAACTGTTTTGCATCTAATTAAATTAGATGTCAATATGACAAACTCTTGGGGAAGGGATTCATGCTAAGAATAAGAGCTCCTAAACTCCAGCTGTCCTGTAGCAGGGTGGAGGGTAACGCTGAGCTTAAGCCCAGATTCCTCGACCTCTGCTTCTGTCCATTTCAGGTCTGTTGCAGACTGCATCAAGGAAAAGCAACGCCAACTGCATCCTATGGTAACGGTGTCGAGCTCCGCTCCGAGTTCTTTGACCTCCGAAGATGCACATGCGAGAGGTGTGGACCAGAGCAGAACAGGAAATAGAAGTTGCTATGTATTTTGGCGGGGAAGGACAGAGAGCATGTCGGTGGACGGTGATGTTTGGAGGAGTCATGAAGAATGTGGAATGGAAACCAACATGGAAGGGAGCCAGGATGTAATAAGTGTTCTTTGCCGTTTCATTCTTTTGTCCCTCTTAATCTCTCTCACCATTTTCCACCATGTTTATCCAACGCAAACAGAGTTGTTTTGGTTTGTTCGATCATACACTGAGGCGGTGTGTTAACGTCTTTACATTGCGCTCATTAGTATCGTATAAACTAGCGGATCGACCCGCATCTGATGTTCCCACTGTATGCTGATGGAGCTGAGCTGTTTGAAGGAAACTTCAACACAGGTCACTTGCCGAAAACACGGGTCAGTGAGCCGTTCCCACTGCCACTAAAAGCAGATTTTTTTCCAGTAGGAAGGGGGTTAAAACAAAGTCCATGTGAATCTCAAAATAATATCAACCCATTAACTAACACTAACTTGACTACCAGGAAGAAACAGAGGGGCAAACTCAGTCAACAGTGTGAAGCGACAGCCTGGTCGCAGGTTCAGTGTGAATGACTTTCTGCAGCAGGTCTGCACCGCAGCTGTGCCGCCTTCAGTGTAAGCCCAGCCTAATGAAAGAGCAGCAGTCTCCACCTCCTCCTCCCTCTCTCTTGCTATCCCTCCTCCCATCCTGAGCACCCCCCCTTCTCTCTCTCTCTCTGCTGCTGCTCTGCCCTGGCTGGCCTCACATCCAGACAGCAGGAATTTAACGGGGAGGGTCTGCCAGACTTAAGACACAGGGCTGCAGGCTGAGACCAAATGAGGCACTGCTGGTTACCAACACAGATTCTGATTTGGGGTTTTGTGCAAAGCAAACAGGATGCACAGCCCAGTCTGTAGAGAAAGATCAAGGGTGGGTGTGAGCACTGCAAGATTTCTGGGAGGGCATCAGCTTTATGGCCATCTGGGCACTGTAACCGAAATATTCCTAATACAATAAAAAGCATATCATAATTAAAAGGTATCTGCTTTGAATAATAACCCCCCTAAAATTGGATTGAAAGATGTTGCAAGAAAGATTCAATCACAGATGTCCTAATTGACCTCAAACTGGGAGACATTGGCTTTCTGGAATGAATTCAGCAAATAGTGTCATGCATGCAAACCGAAGTGCCAAACATACAGGTGTTGTATAACACAGCAGAGCAGAGTAACACTTGGACATGCCACCTAATTGCATTACAACAGGTAGCCGATAATAGCCTTGATGGGAGTCAACAAGCCCAGAGACAAACGGCTGACTGGAAGCTAAGTGACAGACATTCATCCGAGCCACCAGCTGATCCACACCACACATAAACACTAAATCAGCTCTCTAACAAACATATTCCCACTGTATGGCCAGAGCGCATCCCCCCCTTCTTCTTTAAATAATCCCAGCAAATGTTAGGGGTTGAGCGCAACTCGCTGGCACGATGTTTACATACAATGGAGCAAACAGTCTGGGCTATTAGAGCGCTCCGACGCGCAGCCACAATTTGGCCCCTTGACACCAGCGGCTGTTGAAAGGTTTCCAGGAGGTCAGCCTATTGTTAGCAGGTAGTGTCCGTCCAGCGGGAGGCACAATCCCCAGCATTCAAACTTGGCTATTCAAGAATAATTCAGCAGAAAATAACCAGGTGCGAAACTTACTTTCTGCTCGAAGCTCAGAAGCAAAGGCGCGTATTGTTCCTTCCACGCCGCGTGTTTTTACGGCGCTCCGCTCCTTCGCTCGCTTCACTTCACAAAGACGATGTGAGACAAACCCCGAAGACGGTGTGACTGACTGACTGACTGACTGACTGAATCAACTACCGTAGAGCACGGCAAGTTGAAGTGTCAGATTACACTGGCTATTCAGTTACCAGAGAGGAGCCGTGCGCGGCGGCGCGAGGGAAAAGGTGGCCCAGATTCCCATCAGCGCGCGGAGCTCATAATAACGTCATAATAACATGTTCACTGTATATTAAAGCTTAACTTTTTGAGCTGTATATATATTACCTACTATTATTATTAAATATTAGTAGCAATAGTATTGTTGTTGTTTTTGTTTTGTTTTTTTTCCAGATTTAGCAAGTCGTTTTAATTAATTTAATTGTGTGATTTTTTTTTTTACTTAATTCATGAACTCCGCAATAAAAATGTATTTAGAATGCCAAGTTCACAGAATTAAGTTTCAGCCTACGGAAGAGGATAAGGGTAAGTGGAAAAAGACAAAAAAAGTTAAAAGTTTTTTTAATTTTATTTTAGTATAATATAAGAAAAAAGTTAGAACTGTGACTTTAATGTCAGAATTCCGACTTTAATCTCAGAATCCTGACTTTTTTCTCAGAATTCTCATTTCAATCTCAGAATTCTGACTTTTTTTCTCAGAATTCTGACTTTAATCTCTGAATTCGGACTTTTTTTCTCAGAATTCTGACTTTAATCTCAGAATTCTGACTTTTTTCTCAAAATTCTGACTTTAATCTGAGAATTCTGACTTTTTTTTCTCAGAATTCTGACTTTAATCTGAGAATTCTGATTTTTTTCTTAGAATTCTCCGTCAATCTCAGAATTCTGACTTTTTTTACTGAAAAAAATCTGAAATAATATTAAAAAAAATAAGTTAACTTTTTTTTTATTTATTCAGTGACCATAATCCTCTTCCGTATAAGCCAGCCCATTTCTCTACTTCTTTTCTTTTTTTCTTTTTTTTTTTGATATATGTGCAATCCCTATTTGGTTAACAAATTTACAATTAAATTACATGATCAATGTGATAAACATAGAAAAAGACATACATTTATTTGCAAATATTTAATTTGATAATATATGACTTGATGGTCTCAAAATAAGAGCAGTGGCGCTAAAGAAATGCAATTTTTATTTATTTCAGTTTGTTTTTCAGTTGTTTACCTTTACTTTTTACATTTAAATATGATTGCTTATATTCTATTCTTTTTTTTTTTTTTTTTTTTTTGTAATTGCAGAAAATACTCCTAAATATTTATTGTTTATTATATCAAGAGAATAAGAGCATTGTTAACTCTTCCGTTAGATGTTGTTTGGATTCTTAACCACATAATGCAAGCAGAAAAGCTAGCAGCTCCACGCGCCGCTCTCCGTGTTTTGCTGGCAGCCGTCCTCCTGTGGAAGCCTCGGAATAACAAAGACGTGTTTGAGAGCAGCGGCAGGCTGGGCTGAGCGCTGACGTCAAGGAACAATGTATCTCCTCCCGACACACGCGCACCCGCGTGAACCCGCGCACGCACGTCTGCACGCAATCTCTTTACTTCCCCTGTGTTCCCAGTCAGGCAAGGCTGAACTCCCCCAGAGGGAGGGCCGCTCAACTCGCAGCGCATCAGGCACAATCATTCACTCCTCGTGCGGTTCCAGCATGCAGGACCTCTTCAGTGTGTGTGGAGAAAAAGCAATGAATAGCCTGATTGTCAATTTATACCACCTGAAAAATTAAAACAAATAAAAAAAACAGGTAAACTAGTGTCGCACGTGCACCAGACACACACTTTTTTTCTTTGGGCTTAAATATTTTGATTGAAGAAGACCAATAAAAGTTATTTTAATTGCACCTACTCATTTTACGATTTCTCTTCACACTGTGTCACAAGTCCAAAGGTCAGAATCCTGTTTGCAGTTCTTAGCTCAAGCACCTCTCTCTTTGAAGGGAAGGAAGTTGCTGCCATCCTTTTAGCTTCCTGCCTGAGGGGTTCCTGACACTGCAGTGTATGGGCCTGAGCCTGCTATCAGCAGGGGGGGGGGGGGTCTGTATCAATACATTTCAAGGACACCCAGGCCCTCTGGTCGAGGCAGCGGTCCACACTGATGGGAACAAATGCATGCAGTGACATCAGCTGCTCAGGCAGTCCCTCATTTTTATTTCAGGGACGCATATTACTACAGTGGAAATTAGGTTTAGTAGTCAACATCACATATTTTTCCTTTTTTTTTTTTTTAGAGCTCATATTTTTTCAACATTTAAAATGGCTTTTGAAGACAATCCATATCAATGGGTGATTGTTCTAAGATTAATGACATGATGGATAAGCCTTCCTTTTTGTAGTCGAGACAAAATACTGGAGTCCCAAAAAAGAGTTGATCAGAAATTTTGACAATATCTTGGAAAACCTTTTGTGTAAAAGCAAAAGCTTTTCGACATTTTCTTTAGCTCTTTTTTTGTGTGTGTTAAAGGGGGGAGTGGCGGCCTAGTGGTTAGGGCATAGAGCAGACTGCCAATGTGGCTCTCTGAGCAAGACCCTTAACCCCACACTGCTCCCCGGGTGCTCCACCATGGCAGCCCTCTGCTCCCCAAGCGGATGGGTGAAATGCAGAATGAAATTTCTCCAATGTGAGATAAATAACATTCAGTTATAATTATTTTTATTATTATTATTAAATAAATTTTCCAGACTCTTTTGATCCTATTAATAGTTATGTTCCAAATGCATAATATGCCTTTTGGTGTTTTATTTTTGCAAACCCACACCAGTATGAGGTGTCACTGGTCCCCCTTGTTTTTCCACATGGAGTCCTTCAAGTAGTTAAAACTTTTCTGGGTGCAAGATAAAGAACATCTGTGGGTGAGGGGAGTAAAATACAGCAATTAACTCACACAATTATAGTGTATTGTGAGCATTACTCGTGTCCTATCCCTCTTGGCATCCAGCATTTTTTTGCACTTTTTCACACTTGATCTTCCCTGTTTCTTTATATACGTCCATTTAGCACTGCTGAAGTTTAGAAAGTTATTCTATATGACTAGTCCCTGTAAAGAATATATGTATTTGGAGGTTGTTTCTTTTTTGGTGCTATTGGTCATTGTGATGATTTATTAATTATGAATATTTATTTTGTGCACAACTATCAATAACTAGATATGCATCCTTTTTTATTTGAGGACTAGAGCTCCCCTTGCAAGGATCCCTTGGAGCTCCCCCTGCAAGTAGCCATGTAAAGAGCTGCTGCTCTTGGTTGTTGTCATTCTCTCCAGTAATGTTCCACTAGAATCCATACTACATTCGTCACATTAAACAAATTTGTTTACATATTGTGGGGATTTTTCCTCTGAGACACTTTCAACCTCCTCAGATTCAGGGAGTAATTTTGCTGATTTGGGATTAGCAGTTATGGTTCTATTGTTTTTAGTCTGTTCATGATATCTCATGTTCTGGTTCATCCATCAAGTTTTTCTTTTGGCCTTATTTATAGCAGCAGGGCGAGGGAGTCAAAGCGCCTGCAGTCAGTCAGGCCATCCTGCAATTCAGAAAGGAACACCTTTGTTGCCGAGCTTTTTGTTGCCATTGCATGACATGCTCTTCAGCCTCTCTGAATTATTCAGTCAGCTGTCTGCCATGAAGACTGATGGATTATAATAAGTGTGGCTCCGGTTTGTATTGTGCATCATTTCATGTGTGCAGAAGTTTAAATACTAAGCAATTGCTTAAAGAAAACCAGCTTTCTCTCAGAGAAGTATGTTTTGACAAGGTTAATCCTGATTGTGTTTTAGTGCATTTACTGCATGAAAACTTCTAATGCTTCCAAACATCTGTGACCATAAAGCCGAACTCTTCTCCTGACTTTGTTTAAACACGAAATGGTTCTTATTTCCGTTTGCCACCTTTCTGCTACTGACCTTGTTTCTTTGTGCTGAAACAGCAGGGGTAGTGATGGATGCCATTGTAGTTACAGGATAGGGGGGTTCATGCGCTGACTTCAGCTCTCTCGTTAACATGGAGGTGTGATGGTGGTTATTCTGCCGCTAAGCTGAAGACCCTACAAATGAGGCGTCACACTTTCAGGAGTGACTTGCACCAGTAAAAAAGTCTCTTTTTAAACCTGCAGAGCTGCGGTGGTAGTCAAATAATTTCTAAATTTTAATTTGTGAAAAACTAATTTAAACTTGAACAAAAATACTACTGTAAGTGTGGTCTACTATGAGCCACTGTATTAACTTCTTAAGTCCACAACACTGAGCCATGGCTCATCATAACACTTTATTTAAGAACTTTAAAAAAATTACACAAATAAAAATTGCAGAACAGAAAAGTAATAATATAAGCTCCTCAAGGACAAGACAGTTAAGTTAATTGAAAAGAAAAGCTTTTTTGGGAAAGGAAAAATGCATTTTAAGAGCTCTAAACTGAGGGGATGAGCTTGAATTAACTGAAAAAATAAGATGAAGCCAAAATCTGTTCAGGCATAAATGTGAATAAACAGAAAAATTAAAAATTTGGAATTGGTGATTATTCCATTAAACACTAAAAAAATCTAGATTTATCTGAAAAGTTCACATTGGGTGTTTAAAATCCATATTTAAAACTGAGCATGCAAAGATTTTAAAGATTAGTGTAATATGGAGAGGTGGTAAAGGACTCAAATAGCAATTTCTGGTCATTTTGATCACTTGAAGGGAGAACTTGAGCCCCAATCAGTCTGACTAACTATTCAATTCAATTCAGTTTATTTAAATAGCGCCAATTCACAACACAAGTCATCTCAAGGCACTTTACAGTTCAACCAGATCATACAGTCAAATTGATACAAAGTTTTCTATCTAAGGAAAACCAGTTGATTGCATTGACTCATCGACTCAAATACAATCCCTCACACTAAGCATGCTTGTAGTGACAGTGGAGAGGAAAAACTCCCTTTTAAAAGGAAGAAACCTCCAGCATTTATTTTATTTTGTACAGCTCTCATGACATTTCCATTTCTTAAATTACACCAGTGATCAAATGTAAACAATGTGAGAGAAAAAAAGACAAAGTGCAAAAAAATTATAAAAATGATGTGGAAGTTCCAAGCATTAAATATATATGTTGCAATTTGGAAGTGTTTTGGTTTGGTGTTATCAGTGTGTTTCACAGT